GAGTCCTAATTATTTTGCTGTTGCTGTGATAAACTCCGTGACGAAAATCAGCTGAGAGATGAAAAGACTAGTCTGTTTACACTTCCGTTATCAGTACATCACTGAGAACAGAAAAGGCAGGAACTGGGGGCAGGAACTGAAGTGAGGAACTTTCAGGGCACTCTTAGTAGCATACAGAATTTTAGGGAAAGACACTAATTTTATGTGCAGTAATCACAGTATTTAAGAAAGAATATAATGAGAGAAAAAATGAACAGACAGTGAATCTCTGTAACATTTAGTAGAGTCGGGCATGGTGGTGGACACCTTTAATCCAAGCACCAGGGACACAGGGGCAGGCAATCTCTGTGAGTTCAAGACTAGCACGATCTACATAGAGGGTTCCTGGGGAGTCAGGTCTTCGAAAAGTCAACAAATAGCTCTATTAAGTTATACATCCTCAAATGTGATTGCTAGAGAAGTGGATTGATAATTCTAAGGCTGTTTTTCCTGGAAAAGACACTGGAGTCCAACAATTAAGTAAATAATAGTAGATGGTAGAATGATACCTCTGACTGTTGGACTATGAGTATTCACAGATAAGCAAGGGAGACTGGCTAGAAAGATCTTTGTGCTAACGGAGTAATAGGGGCCCTTCTAGGTCTCAACTGGATTACAGATATTTGGATACACAAATAGTACATACAGGAATACTTATCGGTATGTGTAAACAAATATTTACTACACCCAGACAGAGTATCTCTGGTGTAGAAGGCCAAATCAACACCACATTACCTGGAGACACACTTGGTACCCATCCTTGAGTCCCTGTTACCATTCTCCAATAAATGGAAATGGGCCTCCTTGAAGAAATGACCAATGGCAGTTATAGGCAGTTCTGAGCCTGGAGCATCTTGAAAACCCAAGGAATTGTTATACACATGTAATGTGATTAATAGTAAAGAATTGTTAAACACACAGAACGCGTGAGAGGGGTGAGACGGAGGAATATGGCTACCAACGGACAGACTATCAGTGACCAAAACTGGAATATTTTGAACAATAAAATAAGGAAACATTATTATGTAGACAGTCACTCCTCACACAGGTTGAAGATAGCTCCCCATAGGTTTGGGCTTCACACAGTGACCAGTTTCCAACAGGACAGCAGTGATGGGCTTTCTCTGTCAGCTGATCAAAATCAATACCAACAGTCATGTCATTGTGGTGGTATGCAATCTTGGGATACTGTGCTGGAAAGTGTACTTCCTCCCTGTGGTCTTCAGCTCCATAACCCAAGAAAACTGAGACTCTGTCACAGGATAGACTAATCTTATGGGATATAACAATTTTATATATATAGGATATAACAATTTCTTTCTTTCTTTCTTTCTTTCTTTCTTTCTTTCTTTCTTTCTTTCTTTCTTT